AGGTGAAGACCAAACATAATAATATGGTCTGAGAAATGCATTGTTAGGTAATTTTGTCTTTATGTGAACATCATAATGTACTTACACAAACCTACTGTGGGTGACGGTATAGCCTACCACACACCTAGGCCATAGGGTATGGTCTATTGCACCTAGGCTACAAACTTATATGGCATGTTATAGTACTGAATACTAGCCTTGTAAGACAGTGGTAAGTATCTGTGGAGCTAAATGTATATAAACACAGAAGAGTTAATGCATAGCTCTGTGAGGTTAAGACCACAATGATGATGTCACTTAGTGTTGCAACCCGTTGGGCCCCTAAGGCCCTGGTCTCGATCTCCACAAGAAGGAACCAGGCATGACAAGGATTAGAAGTACAAGCTTGTGGGAGACGGGCTAGCCCTTACTTTCTGGGTAGCCCCAAGCAACCTCCGCACCAGCCTTTTATTAAGACAGAATAATACAGGTGAGGGGAGTAATTAACAATGACTACGTGCTGAGGGCACGGGCTCTTTCTCCATAAGGAGCTCCTGTGGACAAGTCCAAGAGTCCAAGAGTCCAAGAGTCCACCCCTCAGCTGTAAATCATCTTGCTCAGAGGTCGTCTGACTCTTGGCGTCCCTACAACTTAGCATTAGAAATTTTCTAGTTCCATTATAATTTTATGGGACCACCACCATATATGCAGTTTTTCATTGACAAAATTGTCATCATATGTGGCACATGACTGTATATATTTCACAGTATGACAGATACAAACAGAATAAAGGCAAGATACTTTAATGTCTCGTATATAAACTTTCTATGAAAATACCATAAAAGTGTTAAGCATGTTATTGTAAAAGGTATAACTGGGTTTCAAATTCATTCTAATTTAAAAGACAGATTAAGAATTTACAAAATTAGAGTTGGGCACGGTACTTATGCCTGTAATCCTAGCACTCTGGGAGGCCGAGGCAGGTGGATTGCCTGAGTTCACATGTCCACGACCAGCCTGAGCCAGAGGGAGACCTTGTCTCTAAAAATAGCCTGGCATTGTGGTGGGCACCTGTAGTTCCAGGCACTTCAGAGGCTGAGACAAGAGAATCAGTTGAGCTGTGATGCCATAGCACTTTACCAAGGGCAACAAAGTGAGATTCTATCTCAAAAAAAAAAAAAAAAAGAAGAAAAAAAAGAAAAAGAATTTACAAAATTAAATATCAGGCACATTTGTGGAAACCTTATTTATATCCAATTTTTCTCTTCTTCCATGGAAGCCTCTCTTTTAATTCTTCTTTATTTAACCTCAGGAGAAATAAAAAGCAAAGTGGTAAGCAGAGAGAAAAAGAAAGCTAACATATTTCAGGAGCTTCCATTTCAGGCACAGAGCTTGTGGCAGATTATAAACAGACACAATTCTGTGCTGCTAACTCCATCAAGAAATGGAATCTACTTCATTACCCCTTAAATCTGGTCTATCTTGTGAGTTGCTTTGATAAATAGAATGCAGAACAAGTGGCATCATGAAAGTTCTAAGCATAGGCCTTAAGGGGCTTGCAGTTTTCACTCTCTCCCACTTGAAATGCTATGCCCTGTGAACAGTTCCAAGCTAGAGAGACTCCATAAAGAAGAAATAATGTAACCCAGCTGACAGCCTGACAACTACCAGACAGTTAGATGAGGCCATCCTAGATCATCTTTCTCTGCCAACTCACCAACCGGCTCATATCATAGCAGTGAGCCCAGGCCAGGCCAGCAGAAGAACCACAAAGCTGAGCCCAGGCTAAAGTACTGATCCACAGAAACATGAACAAATAAGACAGTTATTGTTCTAAGCCAGTATATTTTGGGAATGGTTATTATTTGGCAATAAATAAGTGATACAGTGCTCTCCATGGTTATTTCATTTAACTTTAATAAAAATGGTTGACCCTTTTATGATTGTGAGGAATTAAACTTACACAATTTGGGAAACTTTCTTTATGGAAAATAGCACACACAGTGTGAAAATAATAAAATAATACACACTTAAACATACAAAGGAAATAAACTCATAAAGCTAAATCCCCAAAATGTCTGTGGCCACTCCATTACCACCCCAAGTGTGATAGAGGAGTCAGAACGGAGAGAGGTCACAGGCTTAATAAAAATATACAGCATGTCGGGTGGCACCTGTGGCTCAAGGAGCAGGCACCAGCGCCTTATACTGGAGGTGGTGGGTTCAAACCCAGCCCTGGCAAAAAAAAAAAAAAAAAAAAATATATATATATATATATATATACACACACACACACACACAGCGTGTGACACATAGCTAGAGCCCTTTCAGGGGCTTCATTAACCAGGCCTCATTCACTTCACAGGAAATTCACTTCAACAGTTAACGTTACTAACCTCATTTTACAGAGAGGAGCTGTAACTCTGAGTGGTTGTCACTTGTTGTAGAATGATGACCTGAAGGGCAAGGCTTTGAGCTCAGATCCCTTTGTTTCCAAAACATGTACTCTTTGTACCAGTCTTGCTACCTCCCAGCCAACGGGTTACATTTTCATATTGACCTTGTGATCTACTCCACACGAAGTTTTATATCAATTGAAAACACTTCTACTTCAATATTTCAAAACACACCCCTATGGAAATGAAAGTTCACTGACAAACTCACCTAAGCATTTCCCTTTCCTGCCCTGTGAAGCAAGAACAACAGGGCCTGGCCTTCTGTCCATGTCTCTGACTAGGCAAAAAAACTGCAAGGCATTTCTCTCAATCAAGGACCCCATTAGCTTCCTTTTTTTCAGGATCCCTTTCACCATATGCCAACTTCCTCGCGGGCATGGTAATATAATACCAAAACTCTGTGCATAGCTATTTTGTTCTCCTACCTACCACATGCGCTTGGCTTTGCATTTTTTTCATTTGTTCCGTAGCATGGTCTCCTCCTGCCTCTTCTAATTATATCAAGTACCTTCAAGCCGGTATACATATAAACTTGCCTATGCACAATAAGCCCAAAGTGAAGCAAGATTCTAATAATTTCTAATTAATCTTTCTGTGTTCAGCTATATCAATCACCGCTCACTCTCCTTTCAAATGACCTTCACAGGAAAACTGGAAAGTCTTTACCCACCATGAAAACCAGATTTCTTGTCTTTTAACATTTACATAGCCTATTTGTTTGCAAGCAATTCCTAGCTTTTCACCTCACTAAGTCGATCCAATCAGCTGATTATTTGTTTTGCAGCTTGGTTTCAAGGTCAGAAACCCTCAGTATGCAGTAGTTTATTCAATGTACCTATTTCTATCTGAGAACAAACTTTCTGTGTAAGGTTTGACCTTGGGAGAAAAATTAAGCTGCCAGGGAAAATAGCTGAAGTTCTCTGCAGAGGTTGTACTAGTGTTAATTCAAGAGCATGCAGGCAGCTCTTAAAATACAGGAAGAGTTCAGAGATCTCAGCCAGCCACAATGATACCTCTGGGCCTCTGTCTAAGATAGTTGGCATGGATGACGTTTCTGGTAGCTTCAGCTTCATCTATAAAATTCTTTTTTCTTATTATTTTTCTTCTCCTTTTCCTTCGTCTTAGAAGAGTCTTGCTTTGTTACCCAGGCTGGAGTGCAGTGGCATCATAATAGTTCACTGCCACCTCAATTTCCTGGGCTCAGGAGTAGCTGGGACTCCAGGTGCATACTGTGCCTGGCTAATTTTTTAATTTTTTGGTAGAGACAGGTTCTCACTACTACCTAGGCTGTACTTTTCGATTTTTATAGAGACAAGATCTTACTTTGTTGCTCAGGCTGGTCTTGAACTCCTGGCCTCAGTGATACTCCCATCTCAGCCTCCCAAAGTGCTGAGATAACAGGCATAAACCACCATGCCCAGCCCAGCTGTAAATTCTGTGAATCTACAGACTTTCTTCTTTATTTTTATCAAAGAAAAAAATATACTCAGTTCTCAATAAGTATTTTAAAGTATGGAAATTCTAAATATATGTATAATCTTCTCAAAGTTGAACCACTACAAAATAACTTCAAAAAATCCCATTAAAATGTTTTCAAAAAGTAGTTTAAAACAACAGAATAGTGGAAAATAAAGTAAGCAATAAATGCTAAGTCACAAATATTACAAATAAAGGCAAAATAACAGCCACTTCATCTTTATCTATTTATTGGTTATAGAAACTTGGCAACAAATCAATGATGTACCCTTTAAAGTAGTTTTCATATGTTATTCATTATGTAAACCTCTAGGCTAGCTGTAATTGTTCAACTTTCAAGCAAAATAGTCCCAGTTTGAATATTAATAAAATTCCCAATGATTCACCCATACTAGAATAAAATACGAGGCTTAGTTACCAGCCAAAATTCATTTTTATATAGTTTATAACTGCATATATACAATAATGAAAACTGTTTTGACAATAACATTCTGTTAAGAATAAATGGTTTTCTTCTCATTTCTTTCAAGTTTATTTCATACATACGTAGTATTTGATAGATTGTTTTTAAAACTAACATTTATAAAACTATCACTGTGGTAATAACAAGCCAAACAGCATAAATCTACGAACCTGTGATGCTATATTTTATTTCAATTTCTATCTCAGTTATCAATGTCTTTACAGTTGTTGTATATGACAATCATAAAAGGGAGGTAAAAGTTCTGAGACACTTGGAGTATAGTGTCACTACAGCATGTGGGGCTAGGCCTACAGACCCTTAGTAGCCCATAAACTCCCTGAATTTTTTTTTTATTTTTTATTAAGACAGAATTTCATTTTGTCACCCTCAGTAGAGTGCCAAAGCGTCATAGCTCACAGCAACCTCAAACTCTTGGGCTCAAGTGATTCTCTTATCTCAGCCTCCCTAGTAGCTGGGACTACAGGTGCCCACCACAACACCTGGCTATTTTTTTTTTAGCAGGCCCGGGCCAGATTCAAACCTACCAGCCCCAAAGCATGTGACCAGCACCCTAACCACTGAGATACAGGCACCCAAACTCCCTGAATTTTTAAGTAAAATGTTACATATTCACTTTGGCAGTACATGCACTAAAATTAGAACAATACAGAGAAGATTAGCATGGCCCCTGTGTAAAGATGATACATAAATAAAATGTTACACATATGTGTGTTTTCTCTATGATCAATAAATTAAAAAAACTAAACAAATAAATCAAAATTGCTTGATGTGTTCTTAAAATTCAGTTCAAAAAACACCTTGTAAAGTAAGGCTTATGAGGTGGGAGACAACTTGGTGGTGACCCTTACCCTAGATATGGCAGAATTCGGTTTAGGGTCAGAAGAGGTGACCAAAGTAAAATACATGCCTCTTTCTAAGTAATATCCTGAAGTGGCATACTGTATAGTGCTCAAATGGCATATCTGAACAACTGGGTAAGAGGCAGAAGTTAACTAGGATATTTATGTTCTAGTGGATCAAAAAACACAGGCCAGGTTGGCAGTTCACACCTGTAAACCTAGCACTCCAGGAGGCTGAGATGGGAGGATCGCTACACCAGCCTGAGCAAGAGCAAGACCCTGTCTCTACTAAAAACAGAAAAAAATTAGCCAGGCATGGTGGCCTGTGCCTGTAGTCCAAGCTGCTCAAGAGGATGAGGCAGGAGAATCACTTGAGTCCAGAAGTTTGAGGTTACAGTGAGCTGTGATGATGCCACTGCACTCTAGCCAAGGCAACAGAGCAAGAATGCCTAAAAAAAAAAAAAAAAATGTACTGATTATTTAGCCACTGAATGGCTAAACTCTCCATTTGACTTGGTCATCCAAATCAAGATTCAGCTGAAGTAGGATGGGTCCTATTAGGAAGGCTAGCACACAAAGATGAACCCAAATGCGGAGGTGATTTGGGATTAGCGACAGACATCAAGCGGGCAAACCTACATTTGTCCGCAAATCAAGTTAAATAGAGATCTAAGTAACTAAGCACTTGGCATTAGGAAGATGTGAGAGCAGGCAAGTTAAAACCCAGCCAACTAGGCTACTCCAGAGAAGCCTCTAGAAGCGAGGTAGGAGCCCCACACCAGAATAACGGGGCTATGAGGAAAGGTGGAAAGTGATAACACAAGGAACAAGGAAAAGGTCGTCTATTATTAGAATCAGACAAAGGCAGAGCAAAACCAACCAAAGGCTGATTCGTTGTGAATGACCAGACTACGTTGCTAAGAACAAGATTGGTACCAAAACCAAAAACGGAGGAACCCACATATGGGAATTAAGGGACTTCTGCTCTGAAAGAATAACAGATTGTCGAGAAAGAGGGAAAAGCTAAAATGAAGAGCTTTAGGGCAAGCATTTCGAGAGGACACTGACACAGGTGCCAGTCACAAACAACGGTGCAAGAAAAGGTCTTATTCCCTTGGCCCAATGCTTAGTTTATCAAAATTCCTTCCCTATTTTCCTTAAACTAAAGAGGAAGTCAGTTGCTGACCTAAATATTTATGAGCTTTATTAAGTTACTTGCTCCCAGAATATTAGCCAAAAGAGGGCCTCAACTAACACAGGGGTGAGCATTTATCCTAGCCACCAATTCAGTTATCCAACAGTATATTCACAGTAACAACCACAGGACTAGTTATAAAAATTGTCTCTATTTTTAAACATCCATAAGTTTCAGAATAATATGTACCTTAAGTTGTAAACCAAACACTAAAAGGGGCTGGGTGGAAAGCATGGAGTTACAATGCCTAAAAATATGACAAGCCATATACCATTTGAACCCCTCCATAATTAACTCAAGTAACACCTGAGTGCTAGTAATTTCAGGCCCTTAAGTAATTCACATCTACCCTCCTTTTCTCCTTCACACTCTTTTTCAATAATAAACTTATATCTTCTACACTTTAACAAAATGTATAGTATACAAATCTTAGTATACAAGTATTCAAGTACAGTCTTCATATACAAAGTTTTGTGTATATTTCTTCATACAAAAATGTTAACATAAATCATTCCATCCAGAAAACTTTATTTCAAATCCTTGCACAATATACTTTTTCAAACATTGTCATGCTTGGTAAAAGCTAATTCAACGAGATTTTTCCCTGACAACTAAAGAAACATGAAGATTCTCAACTAGTTGACAATCAGAAGGAATTTACGCTGAAATGTTCCAGTTCTTTCCTTTAGGTAATCTCCTAGAGATAAGGCTGAGGCAGAGAGTAGCCTTACCAGTAAGACATCATAAACATTTAGATTTATGTTTGGATTGACTTGGCACTCACTCCACTTGTTGAGATAAGGTAGAGTTAATCTCTGTCTCATACTACTGCTGGGCACACCTACTGTGCGACCCAAAAGATACCTATCATTTCAACACTATGTTGAATGATACATACAGAATGCCTTCCTTATTCAACAAATATTTTTGTGTGCCTGCCTTGTGCCAGGAACCGTGCGTAGAAATAAGGATGCAGTGTTGAAGTGACAGAGGGCCTGCTCATGGAATCTCTCGACTCACAAGCTGGTAGTGTACATAAGAAACATCCAAGAGGAATTTATATTCCCAGCCCCAGAGTGGGTTCCCAAAGCTTCCAAGTGATTCTGATGCAAGTGGTCTTTTCGAGCACACCCTGATGAACTGGTCCAGATGGAGCTCCCTACAGGTGTCCATGTTACCACTGAACACTCAACACTGAGCACATAGTAGGTATCTCAGTATGTATTAAATGAATCTACAAACAGGAAAGGGGGGAATAGACAGAGAATCTCTACGCAATGTGGTAGAGACAATAGTGCTATGAAAGCATATAAAGGGGCATGTACATAGATGCGGGTATGTACATAGCTTGGGTAGAAGCAGGGACAACTTCCTAGAGAAGGCATCCCTGGAACAAGTCTTACAATATAAGTAATAAGAAGTCAGGCAAGAAGGGATGTCAGAGAGAGATGGCAAGAGCAGAGATAAGCTGAGAAATAGCAAGGCTTGGGCAGAAACTACATTTTGTTGCTACAGAGTCTTGAGGCAAAAAATTAAGCTGGAATTTCACCTACCTTATCTCTAAGCATGATAATCCTTTCCAGGTTAAGGATTATTATTTCTACCTTATAAGTAGGAAAAGTAAGGCACAGAGAAATTAAAATTTGTCCTAGAAAAGGGTAGTTTCTAAAAAAGTCACACAGAGAATTACCATATAATCCAGCAATACCACATCTGGATATACACTCCCCAAATAAATGCAATAGTGCATGATTCCATTTATATGAGGTACATAAAATAGTCAAATTCATGGAGACAGAAAGTAGAATAGTGGTCACCGGGGGGCAGGGGAAAGGGAAAATGGGCATTCATGTTTCATGGGTACAGAGTTGCAGGGGGAAGATAAAAAAGACCAGAGAAGGACGGCGGTGATGGTTGCAGAACAACGTGAACGTGCATTTAATGCCACAAATATACATTTTAAATGGTTAAAATGGTCAGTTTTAGGTTAAGTATATCTACCACAATAAAAAATTTATAGATAGATAGGTATCTCCTGTATATCTAGAATAACTTAGATAGATAGATATCTCCTAGTGGCTGCACTAAGATTCAAGCCCAGACTTGCTTCGTAAAGAGAGAAACAAGTTTCACCCTCATGCCTAAAATAGGAGAGGTTTAAAGAAAGGGCCTTGGTCAAAGCTACCAACAACCGACCACCACCACTAGAAGCATAATATTAACTATAGGTGACTGGCATCCGTCACATCTCTGTAAATATTTGAACATTGAAGAAAAATCTATCAGTATAAAAATTTTTAATGAAAGAAGCAATGTGATGCATTAATCCTGAAAGAAAAATAATTTTAAAAGGACAGTTAACAGGCTTCCATCCCCTCCTTTAATCTACAATCATTGCAAATTATGAATGAGCATATTATGTGGTTCCTATGTCTTTTTAATCAATACCATACTATTCCAGGCATATAGATCTCTTTTAAAAGCATAGCAAATAGATAGCAGTTACAAAGGTAGGAAAATAATAGGTAACAGGATGGCAGTCTAGAGCCGGGATTGGTACTATCCACTTGATGTGCCAGAGTCAAGCAAGCCAGGGCAGGCTGCTGCACACAGTGATGCCATCTCCCCACAACCTCTCCGTGCTCTCCCCCACCCTGCCACATTGCAGCTGTGTAGCAGGGGGTGCCAGGAATTGAGAGGCACACTGCGTTGAATGACATTTTACCCTCACTCCACATGCTGTTATGTTCCTCCTACCTCCAACTAACACCACCCGGTACGTTGAAAACAGGACCAAAGCCCGTCATTGAATTCATTCACTGCTTTTGCTGCAGCTTTCAAAGATACCACAAGATCAAATGCCAACCATCCTTATTTATATATGAAATGAGAGTCATTTATAAATTGTACTACTTTCACCTTTTACTACTAATGGCAAATCCAAATGCCAGACCATGAGCCATATCATGTGGCCTCACCCTGGCACAAAGACTCAACCTTAATATATAATCATCACAGCTCGGGTGAGGTAGAGTCAGGTGAAGGGACCCACGTGCCAGTTGTCCTTCTATTTCACCTTGTCGTGGTGTAAAGGCCCCTTGAACTTCATCCAATCCAAAGTTGTACCCCCCTTCCCTCCTGGTCTCCCCTGCCACACCTGTTTCCACACCAGAACCTCCAGGAGAGGGGTGAGAGAAGTGAAATTGCTCCCCCGGAGCCAAACCTTCTCCCCACAGTCTCTGTGCTTTTTACCCCTTTCTCCAGTTCTTCTCTTCTCTCTTCTATCAGTTGTACCCAGATTTTAGGTATCACTGGAAAAACCTTTCTTGTTATTACTTGGATCATGGGAAACACTTCTGAGATCAGTAACATTAACATGGTGATTTGGGCAGGATGCCTTCTCATAAATGCCAATTACTTCATAAGCTTTTTCAAATAAAGATTACTACAGCCAATCAGAACACTGCTTTTCTTCCAGGCAGCTAGCTAATCAATACTTCCATCACCGTGCAGTAGGAAAAATCTTCATGCTCTAGGACACTTATTACTTGGTATTTATAAGCTACTTCATTACCAAAGATGTGTACCAAGTTTTTTATTTTTTTCTATGTGTTTCTGTACATAGAACTGCTCCCGAAGTCTGAGTTTGCAGAAATCCTATCTTCGGGTAACAA